TTACATGTTTTTGTGTTTTAGCATTAAAATATGGAATAACAGCATGATCAGTCTTAAGTGTGTATATATACCTCTTTAAATAAAGCATATACAGCATAGGTTAGAGAATCTGTGAGATCCCAGTAGACATACTAATGTTACACTATGAGCAATCACAGATGACATTAAAGGTCTCGATGTATACTTCTCTTTTATTTAAGTGCATGCTGTCAGAGGTAGAGCAACAGAAGCTTTCATATTGACACAATACTTCGGTTGTTCACAATTCCCATAGGGTTTTCTCCACCTGGGAAAAAACTGTACCAGTCCATTATCCTGATACACAGGATACACATATTTCATAATGTAAAAGATGATGAATTCAGTGCGACAAAATGAAGGATGTTTTTTTTAGCTATGTGTATGTTAAAATACAGAGTGAGGAAGTTCTTATTTTGTAATATAGTTAACCCTATTGCTCAAACCTTTATTCCATCAATAATCCCAGACACTTTCCCTAGATTACATGAGATTTCTCTGAACCATCTGTTAGAGTAGGGCTGACCACAAAATCATTATCCAGCTGTTACATCTCCCATGATGCTTTATGAGCCTAAGCATGGCAAAGCATTATGGGAGAAACAGATCGAAAGCTTCAATTTTGCCGTCCTGCATTAGAACACGAATATTACAATATGTTTTGTTGATTATTTATTTTTTATAGTTCTCAATCCACATGTTTTTTAACCATCTCCTACACCCTGATCTATACCCAGCTCCCCTGCCATGATACTTTATCAGAATTAAACTTTTATGGAGCTAAAAATAATACACAAATGAATGATATGCAGCACTGGTAGGCTCGCAGGTTGCTACCTAAAGCTGATCTAGCACATTACAAACTATCTGTGGTGATATTGCCACTTGGTGTATTGTGTCCCAACAGGGGTGCAGCCATAGGCGGGTACAGGAATGTGCCAGGTGTGCAAAGGCACACCCTAATGCAGGGCAAAATGGTCTTCCCGTTCTCCTGCTTTGGTCTCTTTTGGACACTTTTCTGTGACTTTGGGTTGGATTGTTATGTTTGTATGGTATCTAAGTATCTTGTTATAATAAAAGGAAAATGTGGCATTTTGTATCTCTTTTTTGTATTAGTGTTTCTAAGGTAAAGTTTAGATGGTACTTTTTTCTAGGTGTCCACTCTTATGCTCTCTACTGTGTACACTTATGGGAGCAGTGCAGGTTAATTTTACCTACCCAATGCCATCCCCAGTGGGCACTGTCATCTTCAGTCTTTATCTCCTTGAAGTTCATCCATCAGGAACCCAGGTCAGTGCTGTACTCTCATCCATGTGCAAGAGTACAACAAAGTTCAGTCTTTATTATATCTGTTGTTCCAAATGAAGGCAAAACAACAATAATAATTGTAAAGGATCCTGGAGCCTTCATAGATATTTTCTCATGACTAGGGCATTCACTACATTTTGTTCTTTTGCATTCAACATGTGTTGTTGCAACACTTTGCTTGTTAGTTCACCTATTGCTCAGTGCTGCGGAATATGTTTGAGCCTTATAAACACATTCAGTTTCAAGTAAGAGTTTTCTTTGTGTTATTATTATATACCACTCCACTTATTAGAGTGAGGGCTTATTTAGGATAAGAATTAAAGGGTGGGAGACTAAAGGCTTGGGGCCTTGAAGATTACTGGGGAATAAAGACATCTACCATTTTGAACCAGGGGATTGAGCAATATCTGGTTGGTTTAAGAGGGGGGTTAGTGTAACTTGAGAACGTCATTACATTATTATCTCCACCTTAGGTAAGGTTATTAAGGTCAACCTCACCACACATGGGGTAGAAGAATAGGAGAGGTCATTCACTGTAACTCCTACAATTAGCAGAAGGATCTAAGTGACCCCCACCCCCCTGCTTTTTTTGAATGACAGTGTCTTTTTTGAGGTTAAGGAAATGACTGGATCTTTCTTGTTTCACAAAGAAATCACACAAAACACACATATGTTATTTTCCCTTTATGTACTAAGCTCTCCATGTTGGTAGTGGACCTTTTATTTCCATTATAACACCCATGCTCAGACAGACTATACATGGCCAATGCAGTCTCATACCTGATCTCACTGGTTGTAGCATTTGTACTCATAAAACCTCAGCACTGGAGTTATACCAACTGGCAAATATTGAATTGGAGTAACATTGCAGTGACATCAAATTTAATAAATAGATCATTCTGACTTTAGTAAATTGATCCCTCCGAATAACCATATATTTAAACACAAAATCAACTTTATAGGTTTACAAATATCTGAATGATATGCTAACGTCATAAACACTGAAAAAATAACATTATCGATGGGTTCATACGAGGTTCTTAACACTAAACTCATTTAATTGTACGAAATCAATTGTCAGCAGTTTCACTATTATGGTTTTTTTTTCCGTTAGCGATTTGAGATATTAGATTGATACACAATAAATAAAACTATTTTCTTTCTATTATACACGGCATTATATAGCATCAATTATTTGGAAAGGAACTGGACAACGGCCAAAGATAGATTATCATAGTCATGTAATTAGGTAAGCGCAAGCTGCTCTTGCCAAGTCTCAGCAGAGAACACACTTCACTAACAACACGTGCATTTGGCTCACCTACATGATAAACATTTTAGGATATAGATTAATAATAAGCACAATATGAATTAATTCAACAACCAGTCAATTCTCTGCTTTAAGGTCACTATAAGTATGGATAACAAAAAAATCCTTATAGGACATGTCAATGACATTCCTTGAAGGTGTTCTAAGTAACATTTTAACTTGGCTTCCAATTAGCTACTAGAAGAACAAGAAAAAAAAAAACCTTTAGTAATATAAACCTTAACATTCTCGCCCCGGGCATAATAACTTTGATTAAAATACTGAATGCCATGTGCAACAGGTTGTAACTGTAAATCACCTTCATTTTGTTGGGGAAGGAAATAATTCACATTTGTTTAATCATCTGTCTGTTACTTCATTTCACCTACCTTGCATAGATGGATTTAATCCAAAAAGGAAATTATAGCCTCCCAGTCACAAAATTACAACAAATGCTGTTGGCAGAGTGTAGACTTTTAACCGATATATTGCTGAGATGAAGTTGCCGGCGAAAATTCAGTCTTTTTATTGTGAGTCATAGCTCCATCAATGCAAGTTTTGCAATGACTTGTACAAATATCCAAATTAATTTTGAACAAAACTGTTTTTTAGTGTATGTTTTTGTTATTTTGTACATATATATATGTAAAAAAAAATTAAATATCGGTATAGGTTTGCCTTATATGACACAGCTAGTAACTAATGTTTACTAATAATTAAAAACTGAAAAGTAAATATTCTACAACTTTAAGTTAGAATTATGTAACTCTTTCATGAAATATGACCTGCCAGGACTATCCTGATATTGAAATGAACACAGAACTGGAAAGTGATAACTAGAACTGGAAAGTGATAACTAAATATTATGCAGGCAAAGTGCCTTATAGTGCATATGAAAATCAAAAACGTACAAATAGAGTTCAGGCTGGGTACCAGCACAACATATAAATGGAATGTATTACTTCTAGAACCAGTTAAAGGTCCTTTAATTAAGCAGGGAATCGGTGGAGTTAATGGAATGTCCTATATCAGGCATAGGCAACCTTTGGCACCCCAGATGTTTTAAACTACACCTCCCATGATGCTTTGCCAGCATTATGGGTGTAAGAGCATTATGATGACATCTGGAGTGCCGAAGGTTGCCAATCCCGGTCCTATATAATCAGGGGCGGACTGAGAGCCTTTGGGGCCCCCGGGCAAAATTAGATCCCAGGCCCTTTGAAGGCCAAATATATGTGCATTAAATAAATGTTAAATATAACTCATAATACAGCATTCCTTTGGATGTGTATATTGTGAAGACCTGTGTATCAATGCATGTTTGTATTTGAGTCTGTGTGAATGCACTTGTGCATGTCGGGATGACTACATGTGCTTTTTTGTATATAGTGTCTGTGTGAATGCATATGTGACAGGTGACAGTGTGTGAGGGAGAAGGTGACAGGTGGAAGAGTGTGGGAGGTTGTGACAGGTGGCAGAGTGAGGGGGTACCTGGTGGCAGAGAGAGGGAAGGAGGGGTTGAGTGGTGGCAGAGTGAGGGGGAGACACAGTGAGTGGGGCACTATGACATAGGAGGGAGAGGCAGCCACTGAGAGCCTCAGCCCCCGCAAAATTAGGATCCCAGGCCCTTTGAAGGCCAAATATGCACAAATAAATGTTAAACATAACTCCATAATACACATTCCTTGATGTGTAGGCTATTGTGAAGACCCGTGTATCAATGCATGTTTGTATTTGAGTCTGTGTGAATGCACTTGTGCATGTCGGGATGACTACATGTGCTTTTTTGTATATAGTGTCTGTGTGAATGCATATGTGACAGGTGACAGTGTGTGAGGGAGAAGGTGACAGGTGGAAGAGTGTGGGAGGTTGTGACAGGTGGCAGAGTGAGGGGGTACCTGGTGGCAGAGTGAGGGAGGGAGGGAGGGAGGGGTTGAGTGGTGGCAGAGTGAGGGGGAGACACAGTGAGTGGGGGTGACTAGTGACATAGGGAGGGAGAGGGGGTGACTAGTGACAGAGTTAGGGAATGGGTGACTAGTGGCAGAGTGAGGGAGGGAAAAGATGACTAGTGGCAGAGTGAGGGAGGGAAAAGATGACTAGTGGCAGAGTGAGGGAGGGAAGGGGTGACTGGTGACAGAGTGAGGGGATGACTGGTGACAGAGTGAGGGAGTGACTAGTAACAGAGGGAGGGAGTGACTAGTGACAGAGGGAGGGGGTGACTGTCACTAGTCACCCCATCCCTCTCTCTGTCACTAGTCACTCCCTCCCTAACTCTGTCACTGTGTCACCCGCTCCCTCACTCTGTCACTAGTCACTCCCTCCCTAACTCTATCACCAGTCACCCCTTCCTTCCTTCACAGTGACAGAGTTAGGGAGGGAGTGGGTGACACAGTGACAGAGTTAGGGAGGGAGTGACTAGTGACAGAGAGAGGGATGGGGTGACTAGTGACAGTCACCACCTCCCTCACTCTGTCACTAGTCACCACCTCCCTCCGTCACTGTGTCACCCCCTCCCTCACTCTGTCACCAGTCATCCCCTTACTCTGTCACTAGTCACCCCTCCCTTCCCTCACTCTGCCACTAGTCACCCCTTCCCTCACTCTATCACCTGTCACCCCCTCACTCTGTCATTAGTCACCCCCTCACTCTAGTGACAGAGAGAGGGAGGGTGTGACTAGTGACAGAGAGAGGTAGGGTGTGACTAGTGACAGAGTGAGGGAGGGAAGGGGTGACTAGTGAGAGTGAGGGAGGTGGTGATTAGTGACAGAGGGAGGAATGGGGTGACTATCACTGTGTCACCCCCTTCCTCACTCTGTCACTAGTCACCCTCTCCCTCCCTCACTCGGTCACTAGTCACCCCCTCTCTCACTGTCACCAGTCATTCCCTCACTCTGTCACCAGTCACCCCTTCCTTCCTTCACAGTGACAGAGTGAGGGGATGACTGGTGACAGAGTGAGGGAAGGGATGAATAGTGGCAGAGTGAGGGAAGGAAGGGATGACTGGTGACAGAGTGAGGGAATGACTGGTGACAGAGTGAGAGAGGGGGTGAATAGTGACCGAGTGAGGGAGGAAGAGGGTGACTAGTGACAGAGTGAGGAAGGGGGTGACACAGTGATAGTCACCCCATTCCTCCCTCTGTCACTAATCACCACCTCCCTCACTCGTCACCCCTTCCCTCCCTCACTCTGTCACTAGTCACACCCTCCCTCTCTCTGTCACTAGTCACCCCCTCCCTCTCTCTGTCACTAGAGTGAGGGGGTGACTAGTGACAGAGTGAGGGGGTGACAGGTGATAGAGTGATGGGGTGACTAGTGACAGTTACCACCTCCTTCACTCTGTCACTAGTCACCCCCTCCATCACTCTGTCATTGTGTCACCCCCTTCCTCACTCTGTCACTAGTCACCCACTCCCTCCCTCACTCTGTCACTAGTCACTCACTCTGTCACTAGTCATCCCCTTCCTTACTGTCACTAGTGACCCACTCCCTCTGTCACTAGTGACCCACTCCCTCTGTCACTAGTCACACCCTCCCTCTCTCTGTCACTAGTCACACCCTCCCTCTCTCTGTCACTAGAGTGAGGGGGTGACTAGTGACAGAGGGAGGGGATGACTGGTGACAGAGTGAGGGACGGAGGGGGTGACTAGTGATAGAAGGAGGGAGGGAGTAGTGACAGAGGGAGGTGATGACTAGTGACAGAGTAAGGGAGCTGGTGACTAGTGGCAGTCACCACCTCCCTCACTCTGTCACTAGTCACGCCTTCCTTCCCTCACTCTGCCACTAGTCACCCCATCACTCTAGTGACAGAGTGAGGGTGTGACTAGTGACAGTTAGGCAGGGAAGGGGTGACTAGTGACAGAGGGAGGGGTGACTAGGGACAGAGTGAGGGAGGTGGTGACTAGTGACAGTCACCACCTCCCTCACTCTGTCACTAGTCACCACCTCCCTCCATCACTGTGTCACCCCCTCCCTCACTCTGTCACTAGTCATCCCCTTACTCTGTCACTAGTCACCCCTCCCTTCCCTCACTCTGCCACTAGTCACCCCTTCCCTCCCTCTGTCACTAGTCACCACCTCCCTCTCTCTGTCACTAGTCACACCCTCCCTCTCTCTGTCACTAGAGTGAGGGGGTGACAGGTGACAGAGTGAGGGAAGGGGTGACTAGTGGCAGAGTGAGGGGATGACTAGTGACAGAGTGAGGGAGGTGATGACTAGTGACTGTGGGGGGGGGTGACTAGGGACGGGGGGTGACTAGTGACAGAGGAGGGGGGTGACTAGTGACAGTGAGGAGGGGGGTGACTAGTGACAGTGAGGAGGGGTGACTAGTGACAGTGGGGGGGTGATTAGTGACAGTGGGGGGGTGTTTAGTGACAGTGGGGGGGTGACTAGTGACAGTGAGAGGAGGGGAGGAGGGGTGACTTGAGCCTACCTGTCTCTCTGCTTCCTCTGCTCTCCCAGGCTGCTGCTCCTTCCCCTCGCTGGGCTCTGTGTGTGAGAGGCGAGTACAGGAAGTGATGTCACTTCCTGGCCCCGCCTCTCCCATCACACAGAGCACCGCGGGACAGGGAGAAGGAGACCTGGCAGAGAGGGAGAGGAGGTGAAGCTGCCAGGTCTCCATGGGGGGGGGGGAACTTACAGGGCGGTAGGTTGTGGGGCCCCGCGCTGCATCAGGGGCCCCACAACCTATCAATTAAATAGTTTTATTTTTTTTTTGCCGTTCCAGTTGGAGAGATCTCAGATCTCTCCAGCTGGAGCATGGCTGTGCTGCCGGGCCCCTGACTGCCTCGGGCCCTCGGTCCATGACCGAAGTGCCCGAGTGGTCAGTCCGCCCCTGTATATAATAATGGTACCCCCTCGATTGTTTGCAATAAACACTATAAGCAGAAAACCTGAAATTGACACCAGAAGCAACAGAGAACAATAATGACCAAACTTGCACATTTTGTCTCTTGATAAAATTTGTTCACTGTAATACATGAGTGATTTATTTTCCATATGTTGTCCTTACGGTCTGCTTGAAACAATTATATATTATTATATAGAACATGTCAAACTGGGTTGAACTGGTAGTTTTCATTTTAAACAAGGCTCTAAAAGATCTTATCCACCATATATACTTATCTCCCTGTACCGAAGATTAAACTGTACAAGTTTTGTGACCTACGTGTTGTGTGTACAACATATTACTGGTCATATAATTAAATGTTTCATATATTTTTATTACAGAAGTATCCAATATGTATTTATATATAAGAATACACACTCCTGTTGGTGATTTTTCCTATTGCATTTTATTAACAAAGCATTTTTTCCTTTAATTTACATTTTTGCACTGAAGACTTGGATTGAGAAGTCACAATGGCCAATGGAAGATGAAATGTATTCAAGTCTTACAACTGTTCAAACATGCATATTTTGAATCCAAAATCGGTGATGGTTGCCAGAAACGCAAAGTTAACCATTGAGGCACTTTCTAAACTACTTCAAGCTGCAAAATCAGGAATACAATAAAGGTGGAATTTATATAATGTTTAAAAAAACTAAACACGAACTACCACTTTTGAAATTTGAGCAATTCCAAATAATAAAAGTTAGCTGTTAGTTATACCAGTGGTTCCCAAACCATTCATCAAGGCACCCCTCCCAGTCCAGGATTCAGGGATTACCCAGTTATGTCTATTGTGTTTTTAGAAAGAAAAAAAAAAACCCTTAGACACAACTGAGTATTCCCTAAATCCTGGACTGGTATATGAGTTATACTTAAAAAAAAAAAATCTTTAGAAATTCATTTTTGTTTTGATTGGCATGTTTTGACATGCTTTGCCAAGCACATTGGCAAACATGCAAATAAGTTAATGCCTCTCTATACAGAATTTAGCTGCACCATCTCCCTCAATGTGAAAATGTCGTGGAAGTTAGTAAGCTTTTTACTTACCACCACAACTTTCTTTTCCCACATTAAATGCTGCAATAAGGTAAAGGGATAAAGAACAGTTAATCTTTAAATGGCTACTGAAATTATTGATGTTTTCATAAATCCTGCAAAAGAGATATAAAGGGGATCTTCCTAGTATTTAGAATGTCACCAATAAAATGAAATTAGCAGGCTAGACTCATTGTATACGATAGCTAGTATAATTTAACAAACACCATAGGCTATATTTACGTTAGTCTAGAGATATTATGTATTATGTATTATAAAATTGTTTAGCAGCCTGAACAGTTGGAGGAGCAGTAGCAAGTACATTTGATGATAGAGTGATGTATACTTTGTCCATTGTTTCGATGTATCTATGATTATCTATGGTTAAAGGGACACTGTAGGCACCCAGACCACTGCAGCTCATTGATGTGGTCTGGGCGCAATGTTCCATGTTCCTTAACCATACAGTGGTAATTATTGCAGTTTCTGAGAAAGTGCAATAATTAACTCTCAGGGTTAACTCCACCACTAGAGGAACTTCTGGGTGCTTAGATGACTCTTGGATGTCTAAATGCATGAGGACTTCCAGCGTCACCGGAATTGCTGCGCATTAGGTCTCCACAGGCAGAGCCTGACCCAGCGCTGAAGGACATCAGCGCTGGATTCAGGTAAGTGACTGAAGTTTTAACCCCTTCAGTGCCGCGGGAGGAGGAGCACGTAGGAGGGGGAGCGCAAGGGAGGGGGGCCCTGTAGGAACCTATAGAGCCAGGAAAAATGCTTTGTTTTCCTGGCACTATAGAATCCCTTTAACCTACTGCTATAGTTTGTTCTGATCTAAACCCTATTTTTACAGTAAAAGTTTGATAACTTAAAGTATTTTTTGATGATTTTCAGTAAATTTAACTAACATTCTATTCTATAGCTGTGTAAGGAAAATAAGTGAAAATCAATGATAACTTTCATGAGATAGATTTGAATCTGCTAAAATGCTAAAAATAATTTATAATTTTAATACATTATGTAAGTTGTACCTTGGGAAAAATGGCATTAATTGTTATCTCCACAAAAGTCAGTTATGAGGACATTTGCTCATTAAAGTTTTAAATTAAAAAAATTTGAAACTGCCCTGAAAAAAAATTCTAAAAATCCTTACAGGATAAATATTTAGTCTTTACCTGTTCCTGCTTGTTTCTGTGCTCATCTTTGCTTTCTACATTTCACCTTGCAGGAAAAACTGTGTACACTCATGTACAAACATCAGCAAAATAATAATGTATGACAGATTAGAAATTCCTTGAAGTACATTGCAAGATCAGACAGTCTCAATGAATTGTTTAATGAATAGACCACTTTGTATCAAGTGATGCCAAAGCCAGAGGTTCCAAGGTACTAATCGGGTCTGCCTGCTCTCGGTGGCATATTCCAGGAAGGCATATAGTTCAACATGCAGGTCAGAAATTAAAATAAATGGATATCAACCTTATGTGTTCATTTCCTAATCTATGTCATCCTCCTCTTGTGATTTGCTGTTCAAAAACACCCCAATAAATTATTTCTGTGATTTTCGCATCCGACATTTGTTTTCTTTTTTTTTGTTTCTTCTTTTTTTCAATACAAAATTAAGGTAAGACATTACATTGCCTCAGTATTGTACAAGCAAAGACATTGCTTTTAGTAATTATAAAAAAAAACAAAGGGAGGAAGACAGAATGATCTATAAGATACGGCAGAAAGGGGCTAAGCAAGTTATAAGAGCTTCCAAATCACACACAGAAGAGAAAATAGCACAGTCAGTAACAAAAGGGGGACAAAACATTTTTTAGATACATAAATGAGAAAAGAAAAGTAAAACAAGGATTAGTTAGATTAAAAACAAAAGAAGGAAGGTATGTAGAAGAGGATAAAGGTCTAGCTGACTGCCTCAATTAATATTTTTGTTCGGTATTTACAGATGAAAATGAAGGAAAGGGACCTCAGTTAAGAAAAAGGATAAGTGAGTCATTTATTACACGTGAGTTTACAAAGGAAGAGGTTCTATTTCAACTGTCAAAAGTAAAGACAAATAAGTCAATGGGACCTGATGGAATACACCCAAAGCTGTTAAAAGAGCTTAGTGGTGTACTTGCAAAACCATTAACAGATTCATTTAACCAATCATTGTTAACAGGAGTAGTCCCAGAAGATTGGAAGTTAGCGAATGTTGTACCCATTCACAAGAAAGGTAATAGGGAGGAGTCGGGCAACTATAGGCCAGTAAGCCTTACTTCAGTAGTGGGGAAAGTGATGGAAACTATGTTAAAGGATAGGATTGTTGAACATCTAAAA